ATTGAAATGTTTTGTCTTTCATATATACATAATTAATTTGCACTAATGGGAAAAAACAAGTCAGTGAGTGGAGTAATAAAATAAAATGTCTGTTAAAGCATCTAATTGCTATGCAAATAAAACTAAGTTGTGTACTACATTTTCCTTTTGTACTTTGAATGTATCAATATGATGATCCAATATACTTCCTGAATAATAAATGCTATTAAAATAAAATGACTATCAACTTGACCAAATTAGCCTCAGATGGTAGGTAATGGGGAACCTTTTAAAACACAAAACCAATATTTCTTAGGCAATGGGAATTAAACCCATCATCTTTAATCTAAAATCAAGTTTTAGAAATGTCAAAGATGTCTCTGAAATTGGAATATTAAAAGGGCAGCCTATGCAAAATGCCCATTTTGAGATTTAACTCTACTGTGGGTCCAAATATTCAGGGGGAATAAAATCAAAGCTACCGATTAACTGACATTAAGGAAGGAATCGTCCCCCAGAACGAGATCTTCGTAACACATCAGAATTGCTGAAAGAGAAAACATCTTGGAGTAAAACACAAGAAAAAGCCTCCTGCCTGCAGTCATACCCTATCACTCAGGTTTGCTGGAATCACAGCCATCTTGAAGTTTTTTCTACTGCCTGTACATGACAAGTCAAAAGGCTTTCACTCACTTGTGGCTCATTAAACACCTGCTGGTGACAGAAACCAACTTGGTGGGTTGTTTGGGAGAACTGCACAGCTTACAACCTCTTCTCTTCCATCTTCTTTTCCTTTTGCTATATATAATTGAATGAATTGTATATATATAGATATACATATATATAATTAATATTTATATATATTCATTCAAATATATATATATATATATATATATATATATGCTATTTTCTTGCCTCCCTATAAATTTCACTGTTCAGTTATTATCACACCTTGATCAATCTCTCCCTGTGGATATATAAGTCCTCTGTATTCACTCACTGTTTTCCTTTTTCTCTACCAATTACGTCTGGAAAATTTCTCTCTGAAGACCAGGGCCAGGTTCATGGGTGTGCAAACTTTGCAGTTGCCTAGGACCCCTTGCCAGAAGAGGAACATGCTTGGTTTAATGCTCCAAGGTCACTGTCTTGAAATTCTTTTTTTTTTTTTTTTTAAGATTTTTATTGGGGAATTGGGGGGATGGGAACAGTGCTGGGGAATTGGGGAAAGGGGAACAGACAAGTTGCTGTCGTTTTGTTCTTCAATCTAGTTGTGGAGGATGTTGCTTCACTGGCCCAAGTTGGCACCATCATTGCGCTCTTCTCTGGCGAGGCAGATCAGTCGCCGGTTTCTGGACGGCTGCTCACTGCGGCTGCTGGCCGCTCACGCTGGCTGCTGGCCACACACGGTAGCCCATGGCAATCCACTGCCACAGGGACTGCAGCCCACGCCGTCGCCGGCGACTCATGGCAGCCCAGCTCCAGGTTGAGCTGTTGTTCAGCATCTTAGCTGTGGAGGGCAGTGTCACTGGCCCTCATATGTGGGATCCGAACCGGGGCCCTCTGGCGTCCCAAGCCAGTTCTTAACCATCGCGCCACTCAGCTGGCCCTTGAAATTCTTAATTTTATCTTGAACTGTGTTCCGTAAATGAAGTCTAATGGAACAATAGAGCACGCATATGAGCAGAGAAGATATGTGCAAAAATGCATGTTTATCGTTCCTCACCTCCCCATTCACATGTAATATTTACAATGCCTCATGAGCACAGAATTCCAGTGGACCCATAACGCACAGGAATTTAGCAAAACGAAAAGTGAGTACAACGTGTGTTAAGCCTGTGACTGAGGAAGAGGGGGCACTGACAGCCCCAAAAGGTAACATGTTCTTCATGACCCAGAACTTCTGCAGAAAGAAGAAAACATCAAAGGAACCTTATCATATCTTCCTTTCTCACCTTACTTCTTTGTATTAGCCAGTTATATTGAAAATGATGACATAGAAGGAAAGGAAAAGATGGGCAACCCATAATTCCTTTTCTTTTCAGTTCCTTCTAATTCATCAGTAAGCTGAAGATAAAGCGTTGGTAGAATACCAAGATATAGTGCATACAAGTATCAAGATGTGGAATAAAAATAGTCGAGTTCGTTTTGTGCAGTGCTTCCATAAAATATATATTCATGTACAAGCTATGAAATACAAATTGTGTGATTTGGGTGATTTCGCATGAGTTAAATGCTCTTATGTTTGCATTTAAAACTATGTATGTTATTGCACAATATAAAGAATGAAGGGTAAAATTCATGCTATTTTAAGTTTTATTTTTCTTCACTTAGAAGGACATTAAATAGCAAATAAAACATCATGACAAGTTGGAGGCCGGGATAAGAAAAAAAGCTTTTATTTTTTAGTACTTTTAACTGTACTTGACTCCTGCTTTTGAACAAGAGGTACTGCATTTTCATTTTGCACTGGGTCCCACAGATCATGCAGCTGGTTCTGCTGAAGACTTTTCAGTCAGAACTGTGGGCCTCATTTTTACTAATTATGGCTGAGAAGCAGTATATCAGTGCTAGTAATATTCCCGAATTTTGAGAAGAAAAGATCAAAGTGGTGGCTCTTTGAAAACTCCTTGAAAATTTTCTTTGCATTTTCAAGAACTTTTAATAAAACTAATACTTCCTCAAACAAGAATAACCAAAATATTTTAAGTTATACGTCTTCTTTAATGATATTGCTTTACTTTAAGATGAAGATTACAAAGTTATGTTTTTCTACTGGTTTTCCCTAAATTATATAGCGTTTCAGCTGCACTTTGGGTTACATAGACTTTGACTGGCCAACATAGGAACCACAGTAACCCTGCATTTTCTGGGCTGGGTTGGGAGTCTTACTATCATTTCTTTTTTTCACAGAAATGTGTTTTAAGTGCCAAATAACTGACTTACACTAATTTTTGTTTCATAGCCTGTTCGTAAGTCAAGAGCTATCTGATTTTAGTTTAACATTTTCCTACAGTTCAAACATGATGCTTGATATACCAAATTTGCTTCATGATTGGAAAAGTTGTTAATGTTTATTTAACCAGTTTTGAGAGTTTTGTGTGCTATTTTCCCTTGGATTAACCCTGAAATTTGATCAGGAAGAGTCAGGACAAATGGGCAGGAAGCAGACAAAAAGGAAAAAGAAAGTTTTATATCTTGTAGCAAGGTTTAGACATTTTCTGCTCATATTCTTGCTTTTGTAATTACTATAAGGAATATTTATTTTAAGTCATTTTTAGTTATTCGTTTCCTAAGGACCCCCAAAGATTAGATGTTTTCTATGAAATTATCCTATGAGAATAAAGAAAAAGTTCTAAACGCTATCCATCTCCAAGATTTGTATTGGTCTTCAAAGAGTAAGAAGAGTTTTAATTTCAAAAGGCAAAGAAAAACAGAAAATAATAAAAAAGAATTCCCTCTAGTCTCTATGTCAAATATGACCCCATTTAATAATTATTCTTCTGTGTATTAAATCCATCTTTTCTGCCTCATCTTTTGAATGTAAAATCTTCTAAAATGAGAGCATCCTAATTGGAGACCAGCAACAGCAGCAATAAATAATTATTTGAATTTTTAGGTCACAAGCTCAACCAGCTTTGCCTGTCTTGAGTTATATTCTTGCTACACTTTATTTTATTTTTTCCTTTTAACTATATTTTATTCTTATATCTCCCTACCATGTAAAGAAAATACGTAGCTTATAAGAGGATGAGTATATACATAAATAGTCTCTTTCGGTAAATTTAACATTAGATTTTTAAAAAATTACATTTATATGAAAAAGGCTTCTTTAAATAAGATGATTTTTCTGACATGTTTTGATTATAGAAGACGTGTTCTTTTTACAAAAGGGACTGTCACCGATTGTAAGAAAAAAAATGGAAGCCTTGCCATCATCATTTCTCTTACTGAGCCTTTGGTGTTTGTTTATTTGCAATAATTGTCCCTGATGCAATCTTCATTTAATTCCATTTCTTTTACAGAAGGACGGTTTATTTTACTTTTTTGAAGACGGCTTTCCACTCAAAAAGCTATTGGATTAAGCTTATTTCCCAAGTTAATAACTTTTATTAAAAATTGTTTTCGTGTGGATTTTACAAAAACAACCTGAAGGCAGAGATTTATCCGCCACGGCTACAGTCAATGTTTGTATTGGAAAGCTACGAGGGAAATGATCAGAGACTGCATTTTCAGAAATCTCTAGCATGGAGATTATTCCACTGCCCTACAGCAGCAAATGTGGTTTTTGAGTATTTACTGTGTATCAGATATTTTTAAAAAACGTTATTTCATTTAATCACGATAATCCTGTGAAATAAAATGAAATTCTTGGTGTAGCCTTCATTCCAGTATCAAGCCACCCCTGCCAACAAGCTTTTAAACCCTTAAATTGGCACATTACCATGTGTAAATAGTATTTCAGTATCCTTTCAGTCAAAAAGGTCTAAGGAATTTAGGGGCCCTTTGGTCCCTTAGCAGCTATTTAATAGCCATGGTTCTTTCTAGAAATGCAAGCAATCCAGTGACAGGAAACTTTTACGGGATGACCCAGCACACATCCGTGACGCTCTTTCTTTCCTTCCGTGGGTCTCGGATTACGTATGTGTGATGACATCCGTCCCTTGGAACAAGTTTTCTTTGACTTTCCCTGAAGTGACTCTGGAGGTGAGAAGTGAAAAGCGCATCAGGAAAGAAAAGGGAACCATCCCCTCGCCGTCTGGGAAAGGCAGAGATCTACAGGTTACACTCTGGGCCTGACAAGCTGCTTGAGAAGAAGGTTCTTGGGGAGTTGGGCGAGTGCGAGCCCAGCGGAGACTCAGAGCCTGTGACCCGGACCCCGGAGTCGGTCCTCTTCCGGAAGCCCTGAGCCGGGTTCTCGCCACGCCCCTTCGCGCCACGCCCCTGCCACACTCCCCGCGTCCGCGACGAACTACGTTTCCCAGAATGCCATGTAAGCCGCCTCACCGAGCGCCAGTAAGAGCCTGGGTGACGCCATCAGCCGGCGCGATGTTTAGAGTCCACTGATGTCGTGGCGCTTCGGGGGTAGAAGTTGCTGTCTTGCCGGACCCTGGTCCTGAAGACGCTGTCCGGGTGACCCCTAACCTCTTCCTACCCACCCCTCCGCCCGCCTTTTCCCTCCGCCCTCTGGCAGGATGAGGCGTACAGGCTTGGGTAAGAAGAGGACCGAGGCTCGAAGTTCGAGGGCCGTGGAACCGGCAGTAGTGGGCGCCGGGACGGGGGAGGATATCGGACCGGACATATGTCCCTGGAATGTCTGGGCCAGAAAGGAGGATGTGTGGGCGGGGGTCTTCGGAGGTGGTGCCAGGTGGTGGAAACATGTCTTTTGTCTGTCCCAGGTCCTAGGGTTGGTTCAGTCCCAACTTTGGACGGTAGGTTGAGAGAGGTGCGGAGTTCTCAGGGTGGAGTATGTACAGGTGCCGACTCAATCAAGTTTTTTAGTGTTACGGACAGATGGAGCGTGATTGCGGAAACTGCTCATTTCCCCAAGTCTGGCTTCAGTTTCTCCTTTGTTGTTAGTTTCTTCCGACGCGAAAATTAAAGAGTGTTACATGCGAAGCACAGTAATCATCATCATCATCATCATCATATTAGTCTGGTAACAGTGAGTTCCATAGGTAAACGTACGTGTCATTACTGTTAACAGGCCGTGATGTGTAACGTTGGGGTCAGAGGCCATTTTTACCCACAGCATGTCTTATCTGAGCCTTGCTCCACGAATGTGGTAATACTTAGTGACTTAGCGTTTGTTCTTGACCTGTTGGCCTGGGAAGCAGGTTCACCAAGCAGCAGGAATAAGTTTGGCGCAAGGAGTTTTAATGGGCCATTATAATGCAGAGCTATTAAAACTTTTTTGCTTCTGAACTTCTCTATTAAGGGACCAAAAAAAAAAAAAAAGGACCCTGCTAATCAGCGTACAGTATACCTGAGAAAGTACATGAAATATTTGAAAAAAGATGTTCTTTTTCAGTTATAAGATGGACAAAAAAAATTTTTTTTTCAAAAGTGTCAGGCATTTAAAGTTAGTGAAAGTTGCCAGTAACGCTAGACGTGTACATTGATAAATTGTAGTATGAGAAATAGCTTTTGAAAAACAATTTTATGACTACCTGGATCATACAAAGCTGTCCAGGTAAATCATAGAGAAAAAAATCACTAATTTTGAGGAAGTGTGGTTTTATATGCCTAAATGTTTTTCCGTTGACAACAAACATTTATTGTGTACTTGAGTAAGCACTAGGTATATAGCCGTTTGTGGCCCTGTTCATGCTCCCCAAAGTTTCCAATCTAGTTGAAGAGTAGGAACGTGTTCAAAGGTAAATTATAATACAGTGTTCTAGTTATATATCCAAACACCAAATAAGTTGTACAGATACTGAATGTCTAGGGATTTGTGGAGACGTAGGAACTTAACTAGAACTCGAATAATGGGGGGTGGGAGAGGTTCGATCCAGTTGGAAGGATGACACACCCTCCCCCCGAAAAGTTGTAGGACTAGAATTAGGAATGATGTGTCAAGGGATTGTGATTAATACAGTTCGATTGAAGTAGGAGGCATGGAAGCAGAACCACCACATTGGGGAGATCTTTGAGTGCCAGGCCAAGGAGTTTGGATCTTATCAGTATGCCCTTTGGCCCCTTTGAATATTTTGTGCAGCAGTATGCCATGATACATTTCAGAAAAGAGACTGGAAAAGTGGGGGTTCTCAGCCCTGATTGTACATTAGAGTCATCTGGAGAGCTTTCACGGCATTGATACTTGAACCTCAGCTCAGACTAATTAAATTAGAATTTCTAGGATAGCGCCTTTTTCTTTTAAGCTGCCCTGTAGTTGAGAGAAAAGGTGATCACTTAGGTATCTGTTGCTGTCATTTACATTGTTGTGATGTGACTAGGGCTTTTTTTAAAGTATCAATGTGTATTGACCTGGAATTTTAAACTTGGGATATATAGTGAATCTGATAGATATTCATGTGGAGAAGCTACCACACTTGATATGAATCTCTAAATGATTTGACTCAGTTATTGATAGAAACTACCTAAAAGAAGTAGCATTTACCTAGACAAATGGACAAAGGCTGAGGATGGTTAACTTTGGCACTCACTAGCTTTCTTACAACCTTTCATAGCAGTAATTCACACCAAAAGAAGTACTTAGTTTGTTAGTAGCAACTCCTAGCATTTTATTTGGTGTTTTCTCTTTATATGGGGGTGGGTGATAGTGTAAACTCCTTAATAGAAGAAAAGTGCATGGAAAGATTGCTGGGTGATAAAATGAGAATTTTGCTTTTAATAGGTAGAACATTATAGAAGAACTCTAAAATTAAAATTAAGGTAGGCAAAAGAGCAAAACAAAGAAAATACAGCAAATGGCTATTAATTTTGAAATGAATTCCTTGGTGGAAATAATCAGCAATTATTTATTGGCAAATGTTATATATTCACAGCCTTAGTCATAAAATAAAAAGACATTTCCTCTTCTTTAAGGATTTTGGTCTTATTAGAGTTTTTACAGAGTATCATTGATTGATGGAGAGAGAATGCATTTTTTAAATGGTTATTTTAATTGACTGGCGGAAAATGTTATGTCTAGTCACTTGAGTTCTTAACTTTTATGATAGCACATTTAGAGAGCTTTATGGCTAGTGGTCAGCAGTTGAGGGAAAATTTTGAGAATCCAACTCTTTTCTTTCTCCTCTGGAACATACTTGTTTAACATTTTCTTGTGTTTTTTACGGTGGTGAAGATTGTTTAAATGTCTGCTGCATATAAAGGACCCATTAGGTACGGGGAATATAGAATTATGAGACACTGTCTCTGCCTTCAAAGAAGCTTATAATTCTAGTCTTGACAAAGGCTGGCACATTCAAAGCTGAATAACAGTGAATTCAGATTCTATTTTACAAGTATTATGGAGTGTGCGTGCGCACACACACACTTGTAGAAAATATATAGCCATGAGTGAAACAGACTTAGTCTGGAGTGCAGCCTGGAGTGCAATATTAGTGTCATGCACAGTCAGAGTTGTCAGAATTCAAAAGAGGGAGTTTTGCTTTTTAGAGAAAGTGAGATTTGTGCTGTGCCTTGATGAAGCTTTCTGTCCACACCTCGACTACCCTTCAACTACCAGCACTGACTGCTACTTCCTGTCCTTCCATCTCTTACTCTCACTGCTACTCCATCTACTCTTTGAGCGTAAGAGACCTCTGGTTTCTATATCATCCCTTTTCCCCATATTTTCAGGCCTCTATTGAAACTACTACAGTCCCTGTCCAGTCTAGACCCCATCATCCCTATCTTTAACCACTCTTTTGGCAGTCAACCTCTTGGGGTCTGTCCTTCTGCAGCCCCAATGCTGTAAACCTCCACTCGAGCAACCCAACCATCCAGCTTCTCATGGGCTAACTCGGGCTGATGAGCTCTTGTTTCACACAACTGGGAAGATTGAAACCACTACTGCGTATTGCCTCAGCCGGGATTGTTTTATCCCCCTAGTAACCCTCTGTAATCCTAGTTGATTGCCTCCATTATCTCTTTACTGTTTTTTCCAAATGCTCTCCATTCTTCAGAGACAGCATTTTCTCTTCTCTTAGTTGAGAAAATTGATGGTATCAATTGTTTTTTTTAAAATGTGGTTAAATAACATCTTCAACTATGCTTTCCTTTCTCAATCCCCTCAACACATTTATCTGCTTATTCACTGTCCAAGGTTCATTCCACCTGTTTGATTGTTGGATGACTATCAAGTACTATGTTAGGCAGTGGCCAGGAACGTATTCCTGTATTCTCAGTGCTATTCACTAGAAGATAAGCTCCAAAAAGTAGCACCTAGAAAGAACAATGGATCTGACACATGGTGGTTTCTTAATTATTTGTTTGAAGAATGAATCCCTCTCTTAATTCTCAGCTAATATTCTCCATAAGTTATTCCAGCTCTCTTCTATTTAAGAGAAAGAGATACCAGTAAAGGATCCTCCCTCTGCCGTGAGCTTGCTCATGCTATATTATTCTGTTTCTCTTTTCCTCTTCATAGCCAGGCTTCTTCAATGGGGAGTCAATGTGACTACTTTTAGATCTTTTTCAAAATGTGTGGAGCAGGAAATGTGTCCCGAATATCCTTGTATATTGGTGCCTACTTTAATGTGTTGGGGGCAATTAATAAGCAATAAATGTGTATTGTAATAAACTGAATATTCTTTGCTTAAGAGAGGGCATTAGAAAGAATTGTTCTGATATCTATTTGGTTATTCTTAAAATTCATTTGAAATGTGAATATTATAGACATACGTGGTCTGCAACGCCCTCCAGGGGTCTTTTTCAGTTCTTTTCTATCAAGGTTTCAAAAGTGGCTTGTTTTTGCTACAGCTATACTTATGACTGATCCTTGCAGGTGAAGGAGTACCTCCTAGCAACTATGGCAACTATGGCTATGCCAATAGTGGGTATAGTGCCTGTGAAGAAGAAAACGAGAGACTCACTGAAAGTCTGAGACACAAAGTAACCGCTATAAAGTCTGTAAGTATGTAACAGATAGTATATACTTTCAAGTTTGTATATTATATGCATATATATTATATTCTTATAAACTATATGCTTTTATTGGCATCATACTAAGATATTTAGTTACCCAAATAGTATAGTTCAGTGAGGTTCAAGTACACTCAAAATTTAGACATGATTTAAGTAGAAGGTTAGAAAATGTGGCTGTTCAAAACATACGGTACATTTGTTGATTTTTTTTTTTAACTTAAGCTTTTTTTGTGGTTAAATCTAAAATACTGCATGTTGCCTGTAGTACTGCCTCTGAGCAATTTTCTTCCACCCCCAAGCAGCTCTTTTCCTTCTCACCTTTCTTCTTCTAGTCTCCTAAGCTACCAATCTCAGTCTTTGATGTTTCTACCTTTTACCTCACACGAGTCACGGAGTCTGATGCTTCTTTCTACTATTTCTCTCAGTTCTTTTTTATTTCTAATGCTTTCCCCTGGTTTTCTATTGGGAAAGCCTCATATCTGTTCCTAAATTGTTACATGTTCTGGTCTGAGCTACATACAGTCACCACAGTCATCGTTCTAGAGTATTTATTGAATTGCATCTTCCAATCCCAGAAGCCTTCAGTGTCCTCCCATGATGTAAGCAAGTTCGCGCTCTATAGCTTGATCAACGAGGTCCTTTAAAGATTGTCCGCAGCTTTTCAGACCTCACCTTCCACACTTCCAGAATGTGTATATGCTTTCTGCCAGACAAACTAGAGTGCTGTGCCCCCTGCACTCTGTCACTTTCCCACTCCTGTAGCTTTATGCTGTGCTTCTGCGTTAGGAGGCCTCTGCCTCCTTATGTGGGCTGAAGTCCTGCCCATCTGAAAAGCTCCACTTCATTGCACCTCTTCCGTCCTCCAGGCTTTTCCAGATTACCACATCAAAAGTAACTTTTCCCTATGAACTAAGACCACTTGTATCATTACTATAGCACTTATTGCACAGTGATCTATCTGCATTGGGTTTAGTTGTATGTAAAAGAAATTTACCAGAATATAGGGTTTTCTGTTGTACTTATTTTTATATTCAACACAGCACCGAGTATAATTCCTTATCAGTTGTATTGAGTTAATTATGTATGAAATAAAGGAATAAAAGAGATGGTTTTAACAGTGTGGGATTGATTCTGCCTCACAATAAAAATGCTCTTCACTTAGACAGTATTAAGTAGAAGCTCATGTTGCCAAAATGTAATTGGTATTTCACTAGTCTTGGAAAACAGAATTGTATTCTGCCTAGAGACTGTTGCATTTGGAAACGAGTATTGTTTTCAAAGCTATATTAAATCAAAAGAAGTTGATCTATGAACTAAACAATATTGTATAATGTTAATTATTTAGAAGTTACAACATTTAGAGGGAATTAAGAACTAAATGATTTTTTAAAAACATCAATGTTGATAATTTAGGCTCCTTGTTAGAGGAAAGCTTTTTTTGTATAGAAATTTCTTTCTGTGGCATGAATGAAAATTGGCCAGTAGTTAGGTGATTTGGGCTATCTAGCTTGATAGTTGCTTTATCATCTCTGTTAAACGGGGGGGGGAGGGGAGTTCATATTATATATAGAATTCTAGTATGGTTTTGTGTCAATAATACCCCCATAGGTTTTCACACAAAATAAATAGAATAATATTTGCTATGGTTTCCAAGATTTCTAGCAGTTGATTGTATTTCTTCAAATGTCTTAGAAGTGAAGCCTTTGATGAATTTGTCATATAAAGCATTAGGTAGGCTTTGGTTTGAATAGCAGCCTAATCACTCACAGTATTTCTTTTGGGCTCAGTCTCTTTTCTGCATAGCTTTAGAATGTGGATAACAATTTATAATTTTTTCCAATTTATTAAAAATTTATTAAATATTTTAAAGAAAAAATACCTTTAGAATCGAAAGAAATAATCAGTTTCGGCATATATTCAAATAATGTCACATTTCATTAGGAAAATATTAAATACTTTTATCTGAATTTGAATGGATAATACGGGTATTTGTGTACGCCTTTTAAAACATAAAGAAGGAAATATAAAGATAAATTCTGTTGTATGAATAATATAAAGAGAAAACATGCAAGGATAAGAGAATATCAAAATTAAAAGATAGAATTGAATGTGAAGATGAAATCAAAATGAAGAGCAGAGAAACAATATCCTTGTTGGAAAGGAGTAGAAATTCTAAAGTATATTCCATTAATTTCAGTGGAAATTTATCAGAAGATGAGAGTATATTTTATATCTCTAGAATACAGTTTTATTTGAGAAAATGTGTGTTTAAAATGGCATCTTTTTTGCTTTGTAATACTTAAATGCGTCTTTATATGGTAATAATGTATATGCTTTTTTATTTATAGCTTTCCATTGAGATAGGCCATGAAGTTAAAAATCAAAATAAATTATTAGCGGAAATGGTAAGTAGAATTTTTTTTTTAAAGATTTTATTGGGGAATTGGGGGAGGGGAACAGCGCTGGGAAATCAGGGGAAGGGGTACAGACAAGTTGCTGTCCTTTTGTTCTTCAGTCTAGTTGTGGAGGACGTTGCTTCACTGGCTCATGTTTGTATTATCATTGTGCTCTTCCCGGGTGAGGCAGATTGGTCACCAGCCACTGGATGGCCACTCACAGCAGCTCTTGGCAGCTCACACCAGCTGCTGGCCGCTCACACTGGCTGCTGGCTACATACGGTAGCCCATGGCAACCCACTGCAGCAGGGGCTGCAGCCTATGCCGTCACCGGCGACTCATGGCAGCCCAGCTCCAGGTTGAGCTGTTGTTCAGCATCTTAGCTGTGGAGGGCAGTGTCACTGGCCCTCATGTGTGGGAGCTGAACTGGGGCCCTCTGACGTCCCAAGCCAGCTCTTAACCAACGCGTCACTCGGTCGGCCCAAGACTTTATTTTAAAGAAAAAGAATGAATACTGCAGTAGAAAAAGAGACATAAACAGGCAAGTCACAAGAGCTATATGACCAACAAACTTACAAATCTATTTTTAAATTCCCTAAGAAGCAACGATATGCTAATTAAAACAAGACATCATTTCTTGCCAATCACATTTATATGTCAGAAGATATCGTTCTTGAATTTGCAAGTTTGTTCTAGGACTCATCTCCCCTTCTGCTGTTGCCCTAGTTCAGGCTGGGCAGAGCTGTCTCCCACCTAGAATTTGCTGGGCACCATTTTCTCCCACCTAGTGGAGACACTGAGAACCTCTTTACACCAGATACCCCCTTGAATCTTGTTGGATGAAGGGGAGATATGGCTTGTTTTCCTTTTGAGATACCTTCTGTTGGAGGAATACCTGGACCATCCTTTTCACTCCCAGGAACTTGATAAGATTAAAACAGCTTTTCATGGATCCCTAGCTCTCTTTTGGACTAAGGTGTGATTTTAATGCGGGCCTAGCCTGAGAGACAAATCCTGGCGTCAGACCGGTCCCATGTGGCACTCAGAATCTGGAATAGCAACATCCTTTCAATAACCAAGTCTCACTTTGCTGGTGTTTTCTCTCAGGCTTCTTGCAAGTAATCTGAGATGAACACAAAGACTTCAGGCTACATGATTTACTCTCACAGTTGAGTTTAGACATCCCCATTTTTTTGGTATCGTAAACCCATAAAGTAGAGTTGACTTTTTTTTCCTTTTCTATATTTTAAAAATTTCTCTCATAAACTGGCATTATTTCTATCATTTTATAATGTATTTTTAAGAGTAAATATTATATGTATAGAAAATACAACTTATTTTATGAATTCATACTCCAGGATGTTGAATTCTTAGCCGAGGTCGAGGTCTACAATTTACTTTATTCCAGGAAGAATTCACAACATTTATATGCATTTTAAATGTAATAAATCAAAATTGAAATTAAAGACTTAGTTCAATTTTAAATTCCTCTAGTCTTGTTAAATCATCCTAACTTTTTGCATTTAAATTATAGCTAAGACCGTTGAGTAGAAACTCACAGCTTGACCTGGCATTGTATATATTTAGTTGAGGATTCTTTTCAAAATAAAATAGAATATTTTCCATATTCACTACCATTATGCTTCCCACAAAACACTAAAGGATATTTGAGGAAATGTTTCTAATTTTCATAGTGTCTCCTAAAAGTTGGTTTGGACAGGGAAAAGAGCTCAAGCTATAAATTTTTTAAAGGTGTTTATGGGCAACTAGTAATTTGTTCTAAGTTTACATTTCATATATTGAAACCCTATTATGATGACAAAGCTCTTGACATACACTGTAATATTTATACTTTAAAATACTTACATGGGCTGGTATTTATTTACTCCATATAATTTGATTTAAAACATTTTTAAGAGCAAAGATTATGGACCTCTTTTTTGTTTGTTTTTTTAAACATCCTTCTTGGTCATTAGCTATGCACTTGTTATTAGAAATTATTAAATAAAAAACCAACATATATTGATTGCCACTTATTATTTGCAATATTCAATAATAGGAAGTGAAAGTGACTTAAGGAAAAAAACAAGTTTAGTGCATTATACGTGCCCCGTAATCTTCTGGAGGAAAAAAAAATGCATGAACACACTTAAAAGATTAACTGCAAGGTAACAATGTCAAATAAGTGAAACAGCTGACACTGATTTAAATGAATATTGAGGAACAAAAATGATGATGATGCTTGCCACATATTAGGTACTTAAAATTGTTTGAATGAATATATTTGTTAAATTATATAACTAGTGAGTGCCTACTTCATGTTACCTCATAACAGTCCTAAACCAAGGGACCATTAGCATCACTTTTTTTTTAAATTTATTTTTTATTATGAAATACACATTTTCTACAATTAGTTTCAGCTGTACAACACAGTGCAATAGTTATATTTTTACCCCTCGAAGTGACAACCCCCCTCCCCGGTAAGTAGAATTTTAAGTTTAAAAAATTTCATCTAACATTCTCAAATTTAGTCTGTTAATCAGGTATAGCATTGTTTTAACTTTTATCCATTTTGAAATAGATCTAGAGATCATAAGTCCTGGATTCCCATCCATTTATATCTGATTGGTTTGGAATAACTGCAAGGTTTATTTTTGCCATACTTTTACATTTTCCATCTTGCCTAACACATATAAGCAGGAGGAGGGGGTGGAAGCCAAAGGATCTCTAATCCTGTATTTAGAAACACTGTAAAGACTCAGGACAACTGCCTATTTTGAGTGTTCTCAGAGATTTCAATGGATATAGATTATGAAGTAATCAAAAAGCACTGTACATGCAATCAGCCAAACGTCTTGCACTTAATGTAAGCTGATTTCTTGTGCTCGATGTCCCAAGGATCACTTCTGAACAAATCAATATGATTGGAACATAGTAACATCCCAGAGACTTTTACCTCCAGTCCAATTTCAAGCAACATAGACCTTTTCTTGTTAGAGCCTCTTTCCATTCTTTAGTGTTTAATTTAGACTCCAAAGTTCTCCAAATCTTCCCCAGTTTCTCCACATGCTTTTCAAATTGTACTCTTCAAAAATGAATGAATACGGCATTGAAAGCAGTGTTCCTGTGAAGGCTGTGCATTAGAATCACTTGGGGAACTTTATGAAAATATTTACGCCTGGTTCTCACTCTAAATAGACTGATTTCAAATTTTAGGAGAGGGACCTAGGTATATGTATTATAAAAAAAAGCATCATCCCAGATGACTGATGCATAACCCTGGTGAAGAACTGTAGATAAGTAGAGTGCCTGAGCTACACAGAGCCTGAGCTATACAAAGGCTATCGTGATGGCAGGGCCGTTACATCTCAGGATATTGAGATTTCTAGGAACGTGCAATATTTCCATTCCATATCCAGTCCTCTCATCATAAGGACTTTTCCAGCTATGTTTTAATATGGCACTTTTTCCCCATCCGTATTTGTAGTCTTTGCTACATTTTACCACTTCTACATGATAGTCTCTTAACTTTTAATAGACTCTACTGTTCTTTAAAGTCAGCTACCTAAATTAAAGGATCTTAAAATTAAAGGTACATTTGACTGCTAACCATATTAAATTTTGAATTACTGTACGGGGAAGCAGCCAACCATTTGACCTGGGAGAGCATGCCCCAACAAAAAGTGGGGAAAAACCTGTATGATAGTAGACAAACTACTTACCTTTATCGTTAATGTTTTTTAATGCACATAATTGGAATAAGACCTAGTTGGGATTTTGAATCACTGTGGGGCTGAAAGAAATATGTATTGGACTCTGAAAGAGCTTTCTAGTCATTGAGAGATTATTCTGTTTTGCATGGAGTAATCAGGCTGATTACCCAAGTTATAAATAGGCTCCTACATTGATTAAATATTAAAAATGTCATTTAAAATGTATTCTAATAGCAATATATTCACTTACTTAAATGTGCACATGTAGAGTATTAGAATCTAAGTTATATATACATATATATATACACACACACACACACACACATATATATATTTTTTTTCTCCTAGGATTCACAGTTTGATTCTACAACTGGATTTCTGGGTAGAACTATGGAAAAACTGAAGATTATATCCAGAGGGAGCCAAACAAAGCTGCTGTGCTATATGATGCTGTTTTCATTGTTTGTCTTTTTTGTCATTTATTGGATTATTAAACTGAGGTGATGCAAGTAAGTGTGAGTTTGGAATTTGTTCCAACTTAAATAGCTTGGAGTACCACTTTCGTAAAAAATGAGCATCAAAACATTCCTAATTTTCAATTACGATGGCTTTTCCATTGAGGATTACTGAATTTTACTTGTTTTATAAATCATGTTAGATAATACAGTGCTCTTTGAATACTGTTTCTTAATGATTCATTTTTGCCCCTATTTTCAGGGGTACTCAGATGGCCTAAAGTCCATCTCGCCCTAACAATTGTTTGCCTGTTGTTTGCTGTCAGATTAAACAGCAGTATAATATTCCGTTGTTACCATACATGTAGGTTTATGTTCTCTATAAAGAAGCTTTGTGGGAGAATAACAATGCCTGGAGAGCTTGACGCTGAGCTCTTGAGGTAGTGACACTTTTGTGATGGAACGGTAAATGTGTTTTCTTGAACTGCCATCAACCTTAATGAGGTACTCCCCTTTCCTCTTTTACTCGATTAAAACTGTAGGCAGATTTCTTTTTACCTCCAAGTTTTCTAATAGTTTTTGATGATACGACTCTTCTTCCCCCTTTGCCCAAGGACCTCATTCTTGACTGAAGCTTGTTATTTTGGCATATTTCTAGCAGGGTGCCAAACAAATGTGTACCAGTCTCGTCGTTTTGTATTGATTTTGTACATACCGTTGACTTGGCTTATAATAGTTCTGTGATTTTAGCTACTTAGGCCATTTGGTTATCATTTGTGACAGAATAATGTGAAGCTAAAGTAATTGCTGAGCTCCAAATGAAAATAAAATGTTCAAGAAAATTAATTGCCTCTGCTTTATTAAGTGCTCAAAATAGATAATTGAAAGTACTCAGCATTGAACTTGGGGTTAAGACTCTTGTTACTTTAATCCATTATATTTGTTTATAGAAAGCAAAACAAAGGTGGACTGTTAAGTAAGAATATTGAAATGTTCTTAAACGATCTGTTGCTACTATTTTGGAATTTATCCATTTATGGGCTCCAAAAATAAATTTTTAATGAAATAAATTAATTGACTTCGTTGCTTCGTTATTCAAGTCTCATTGTTTTTTACTTCGAACCTGAGAAATGGTCCTAAAAACTCATATTCTGAACAAAATCAGGAAAAGCTTACATATTTATATTATTGCAGAACTTGCTTCAAATGAGATAAATCATAACTGCAGTTTTGAAAACCTTTAATTTAAAAAATATTTTTAGTTACAAATCTTTTATCTTTGATTTTGCTGAGTTTGCAATCCTTTTTGCTTATCCCCAATTACCTATCAATTCAGATCCTATCTTTTCTGCTGGATTTGTCATTTGGGCCTCTACTTGACAGGTAAAATCACTAGAACTGAGAGTGGCTACGTGATGTAGCGTGTAAGTCAGGCCAGAGGTATGGTGTGAGGGACACTGGTTTGAGTTAGATGACCAGGGTTCAAATCTCCATTCCTTAACTTGCTCAATGTTTGCGGGCCTGTTTCTTCATTTAAATCACCTATTTCATAGAATTGTGAAAGGTAGCTAATATATTGGAAAGTGCCTGACACATGGTAATCACTCTATGTTAGCTCTTCCCATCATTAACAGAAACATCAGAAAAGGGAGTTATTCTAAGGGCAAGACAATGAGTTGGTTTCAGGCTTTCAGCTGATGTGACCTCCAAGTGGAAATTTCTATCAGACAATTAGAGATTGATATGTTTTTCAAGAGTGACATCAGAGCTCCTGGAAGACTCAGAAATTATTTCTGTAAGAAAATTGCAGTATGAAAACTGCAAAAAGAAAAGAACAGAAGGCCAAAGAAAAATGACTGGAAGATGGAAACAGAAGAGAATCAACAAGAAATAGAGGAGCTCAAAGCCTTAGGAAAACCAACGACGGCAAGAGAAGAATGGATTTCAAGGTTAAGGTTTGGCTATTATATGAAATTACATGGTAATGTAAACACTTTAAATGCTGGATATTATCAAGGAGGTGGGGATTGCATGGCAACGGGCTTGGGGTTATATGAAAGATACTCCTCTCTGCATTGTCCAACATTTCTTATTTTGCAATTCTAGGACAGTTCCCTAACCAGCATTTTATATCACCCCCCTCATCACTGCCTTTGCTGAGATTCCTGGCAGGCAGGCAACTGCTCCAGAAGGGCCTGTCCCTGCCTATCGGGATCCAACTGTGTGGGGAGCCCCTAGGAAAAAGCACTCCCAGAAATAAAATTTGGGAGAAACATCAAATATGGAAAAGATATAATCCTTTATAATTTTTTACAAGCTCATTGTTAACTCTGAAAAAGAAATTATTGCCAAGTGTATGGGAAGTTGTTTATAATAATTGAACAGGCAAAATATTCACATAGTTTTTATTCAAACAACATAAGACTTGCAGATGTTTGGATGGTAGGTACACTTCTATATTTTAAATGGTAAGGCAGATTCAGAAAGCAATTTATAACAATCCTAAATGTCCAAATTATTCTGCAAAATATCTAGTCCATTTCACTAGGAGTTGGTCCTTGGTAATTTGCCAATGCATTTTCAAATAATAAAAACTAACTTATCTGCACCATGCCCTACAGATATCAGACATAAGTTTCTACAATGAGGAGAGAGAAAATTATACATACTATTGTTATAATTGAAATTAGCATGCAAATTAATTCTTTGATACTACTTGAGCAGGGCATAGTTGTTAAATCTAAAACAAATAATGCAACCTTTGAATTCTGGAGCAGAAAACCCTGGCACCTGCACCCATTGAAAGCTTCTGGTTCTATAAAATTAACTAGTTTTCTTAATTTTTCAGTGCTCTTAAACTTCAAAATATGTGTATTGAGTGTTCTTCCTTGCAGAGAAAGTGGAAAAAGTGCTTGAGAACTTGGGTTCATTTAGTCAGTAAATAACTTCATCAGGCTATACTGATGAATACACTGACTAAATATTTACTGGGAAGCAGACACATCATAGCTAAGACTGAAAACTGTGAAGTCACACTGCCTGAGATAAACCCTGGCTCTGCTACTCACATTATGATTTGGAGCTGATGACCCCTCCGCCTCAATACCTCTATTTGTAAAACAGGAATAAAAATTCTACATAGATAGCAGTAATACACTCAGAGGGTTATTGTGATCATTACATTGTATCACTTGTATGGAACTTAAAATGGGCTCCTGGTACCCAATGGCACTGCCTTCAAGGTAGTTGCTCAGAGTTGTCTTTTCAAACTTTTGAAATTTTATGTTTCAAAATATAAACTACCAAACTCATAAAACGACAGCATTCTAGCATTCAAATTTAAAGGCTACTATGATTTTAATACATTTGCATAAGTTCTTTGCACCTTCATATGTCTTAGAATGAATCACCAGGAAGTTCTCATGTAATAAGGTTTAATACAAGTTAAATACTCATATGTGAGTGAGAAAGTGAAAAGGGAGGGGGAAAAATATATATATATATATATATATATGCAGAAAGTGAGTGTGTGTGAGAGGAATACTTCAATCACTATATATTCTTCACCCTAAATTATATTAAACTTTTTTGAAGGATATAGGCCTTCTAAGGGCAGGTACTATAAAAATTATATATAAAGTGGCTTTCTTCTTAATTGAGTGTGCAAGTGTTGCTTTATTCAATATATAGTTTTGCTTTTTTGTTCCTAGCAATGAAATGATGTAGGTTTTCAGAAAATTTAACTAATTTCTAATCACACAATTCCTACTGGTACTAATCTATGTCAAGTAAATTCAAAATGGGTTATCTTTTCATATAACCATGAATATTTACTCATGACTTAAATTTTTGTTCTAGACTTATAAGAGCTGTTTAAATATATTCCTCTTGGAGCTGTACCATCTGGTATTTAAAACCCATTTCTTCCTTACCAATGAGGAAATTTTTAGAAACTGTCACATCTTCAAAAAATATCAGTATGGTGTGTGATGACTACACATCCTCTATAGTCAGTTTTTCTATATTTTTAGAAATATGAATTCCCCATAATAAAAGACCATGAAAATTATTCATAGAAAAGAAAATTTTAACTGTCAACAATAAAACATTTTTGTTTCATTCATTCGGGAATGAAATATTTGATGCTTATCAATATAAGACCCTATTTTAAACACCTGTGTTTTCCCTGGAGCACTTGGCACCATAGCAGATCCCAAGAAGCGATTGGTGAATAAATTAATGTTTCCTACTGGAAAACTTATTTTTTTAATCATCTTTTACTAAAATTTCAGGGCTGAGACCCTAGAAAGCCTTTAATAAATGTGTAGCTTGATTAATAACACACCAAGTTCAGTTGCTTGCTGAGCTTCTTTGAATATTGGAGGCACAATACTACAACCATTAGGTTAATTAGGGGCCAAAAGTTGTTGCTAATTTAAAATTCTTATTATGGTTTTCCCTTTTATAAAGGTAAGGGAGGATGGGTTAAAACTGAATGCTCTGCCTACAGGGTCAGGAATGGATGCCACTTAATCAGACACAAGTGGCAGAATTGCTGAGGAAAGTTGCTTAATATTCTTCCTCTTCCATCACCCTTCAGATTTCAAAACATACGAGGTTTATCAGCATCTCTGACCCAAGGTGATAAGGTAAGGAGGGCATTCCTTTCCAGAAAACCTAGCTTTTTTAAAAGAATTTTTTATTTTGTTTCTGTTTTTAAGTAATTAGACTTAACTCCTGTCCTTAGCCAAAAAGTCAGCATTTCACTCAAAGCCCTACAATGGAATGTATCACCCACTTAGTCAGCAATGTAAGCTGCTCATTTACCAGGGAGTTTAACTGGCACACTGATCAAGGGCTTATTCAGGTCAGAGAGTGTGGCATTATGTCATGGGTGCAGGCAATCCAGCACATCCAGTGACCCTAGGATTTCTGGGTTGCCCACATTCTGCTGCCATTGATGATATAGAACAGACGCTATGTAGATACAGAATTATCAGTATACAGATTTGTTACTTTGTACCTTTCAAAACAGGCAATGCATTCTCATTTGTGAAAGGCAAGTAGTAAATATTAGCAACTTAGAAACTCAGCTCCTTAAGTCTACCATGGATTTTCAGAGCTAAAAGTTTCTAGTCTATTCACAGGATTATAGAACTTTGAGTTGGAAATGAGACACTCATTCCAAATATTGTTTCATAAATGCAAGTTTCTGGTCTGCCTATCTTCACAGGTAAAAACTGAGAGACAACTGAGGAGTAATGAAGTCAAGAGGGTACACAAAAGTAAAGTAACAAGGTCAAACAGGTTTGTCTTTCTGGTCTGGCTGCCTTCATTTGTCATTATCAACTTTGTAATCAATGTCAGCTGAGGAAACGGCAAAAGAAGACTGGTGTTGGGGGAACAGAAAAAAGATAAAAACTTAAATTTCCACATCACAGGAGGACCACTGTGGTCCATCCACTGCCAGCTGCACAACCACCAATTCTAAGACATTCTAGGTTCTGGGTATATAGGAAGGCATGAAAGAACACAACGTCTCCAGGTGGCAGAATTTGAACAAACTATCTAGAATGCAGCACAGAGAGACAGTGAAGAGAAAACTGAAAGTGAAATTAAAATATGTAAAATGAGAAATCCAACATATATCTAATATTCTCAAGGAAAAATGGGATAAAAATGGTAATGAGGCAAGTTTTGAAGAGATAAGGGATGAAAATTCTCCAGAATTGAAGAAATACATGAGTTCTTTGATTGATGTGAAACACTATAATGCAAGCAGGGCTATAAAGAAAAAAAAAGAGAGAAAGAAAAGAAGCCCCACAGCTAGCTGCAACATATTAAAAGTACAAAAACATCAAAGATGGAGGAGGTCTTAAAAATATTTCTTTAGTAAGAGGGAAATTGAAAGTAGGAGGAAGATGCACATAAGAGCAACACTTGAAAGGGAAAAAGGTATCTAATTTGTCCACATTCTTGCAGATGTGAACTATTTCTTGCCCTATTCTCAGGGTTTACAGACCAAGAAAAATGGGTGGTGGGGAGGAGGTAGCAATGGCTTGTGAAATAAAACTAACT